TCCCCATCCTGGGGCGCTCAGATCTCGAACCCAGGCTGTCAGTTTTCCAGCTGGCAAGCTCAGCATCTTTAACAACTGAGACATCATGCTCCCTAACATTTAATTAAAAGTAAAGGTTCCCCTCGCACATATGTGCTAGTTGATCCTGACTCTAGGGGGCAGTGCTCATCTCCGTTTCAAAGCCGAAGAGCCAGCGCTGTCCAAAGATAACTCCGTGGTCATCTGGCCAACATGACTAAATGGCAAAGGTGCATGGAACACTGTTACTTTCCCACCAAAGCTGGTCCCTATTTTTCTACTTGCATTTTTTATGTGCTTTCAAACTGCTAGGTTAGCAAAAGCTGGGACAAGTAACGGGAGCTCACCCCGTTATGCAGCACTAGGGATTCAAACCGCTGAACTGCCGACTTTTCGATCGACAAGCTCAGCATCTTAGCCATTGAGCCACCACATCCCTTTTAATATTTAATTAATTGCTGTTAATTATTAACTAACAGCAATTGTTAACTAACAATTCAACTGAATGGCTATATGAGAAGTTGCTTTAAGCCCTTCAAAATGGCATTGTGTTTATGAGTATTGAGCTTCTGATCCTTTCCATTGCATTTTCATTTTCTCTTCCTTTCTCTACTATGTTTATTTTTTTTCTTGGAAGTCTTCATATGGTCCTATTTAAGATAAGTATTATTTTAAAAGTTCATGAAATCTGGGTGCTTGGCAACTGACATGTATTTATGATAGTTACAACATCCTGAAGTCCTGTCATTGCTATCTGCAACCTTTCCAGGGGGCTTCTGTCAAGCAAAGCCAATGGAGGAAGCTGATTTCACTTAAATGTGTGATTCACTTAATGACCATGGAAAAATATGGTAGTAAAATTGGACTTACCTAACAACCTCATCATTTAGCAATGGAAGTTCTGGTCCCAATTTTTGTAATGATGCCAAGGAGTATTTTGATAAGATACTGTTAGGGAATGGCTATTGCCTAACTGGTTGGGTTGGCAATATATATAAACCATCAATGCATGTTTGCAGTCAAAATGTAATGTATAGTGTTAAGACTGTAATGCTGTATTGCATCATACTGTATTCTGATTGGCTAGCTCTGTAGCCAACATATTTAAGAAGAAGCTTGAATCATGGCTTATTTTTTCTTATTGCATTATTATTGCTACCTCTGCTCCTCTCTACCTGTTCTCTCTGCATGATCACTGATTGATCACTGCTACTTGTTGTTTTCTACTGTTTTACTGATTGTTTTACTGCTGTACTTGTTCCTGTTTGCAACTCCAAAAAGAACTGTTATATTGCATATGACTACAACAACCGGTAAGAAGACTTTGTTCTTGGAATATCCCTGGATTGACAAGTTAACTATCTTTATCTGTGTATGATCTGGATTGACAGTGCTTATTCACGATCACTCTCAGCCGTTTCTCATGTGCACAACCTTGCTACTCAAGGGTTACTCTGCACATATTCCTTAATAGATACATTCTCCCTTGAGTGTACAATGAGCATTTTTGAAATAAAGTGAAATAAAAAGTTGTTTTTTGTACTAAATTATTATTATACTGCTAGGTTAAAAGAGCCAAAACTTGTATGAAAAGATCTCAAAAATTACCATAACCCGCATCTATATAATGAAGTCACTAATGCATACTTATATCAAAGCTGGTAAAGTAATGTATTCAACAGATATAGCTAAACAACAAACAAGGTGGGAAAAATCTGAGGTATCCATTACATGCAACAGAACTGACTTCAGTATATGTTCTCCTTTTATAGTCTTCTTTGTCTAATATTCAATAATTTGGGATTTGTTTGTTGAGCAGAGCGTAAAATAATGCATTTTCTCTCTCAGGTCATAGAATATGCTAATCTCAAACAACTTTATGCATATATATATTTTCCTGAGATAGTTAATATGTAAATTTCTAGAATAACTACATAAGGTCTTTCACAGCAACATTTATTCCATCCACATTCAGATGTCTACTTAGGTAAAGCAAGAAATATATGACCCAACATTTCATAATTTTTCCTGGCTCTGAGTTCCATTGATACTGTATAGAAATACTAGAGTGTGGATAAAGGATATGGGTTGCTTTCTATCTCATTAAACATTCTCTTTTACTTCCCAGAATCCTTCTTTGTTTGTTTGTTTGTTTGTTTTATTGGCTTGTGATCAAATATTTCCTGGAAATTTCCTGTATTTGACTCACCGGTATTCTTTTGTTCACATGGGCAGAAGTAGAAATCTAGATGGCAAGATTCTAGAACAATACTTTGTATTCAATACTATGTATGCATGTATGTATGTATGTATGTATGTATGTATGTATGTATGTATGTATGTGTCAGGGTTCCAAGTAACACTCCCAATGAAAGAAATCTCCGAGGCTTGAGTTTCCTCAAAGTTCCGTTTTATTAGAGATATCATATTGGCACATCTGGGAAAACCTGAATCTGAAAGCTTCCAGGTTTTCCCCACCCAAAGGAAAGTTCAAGACCCTGCCCCAGCATCCACATGTCTATCACAAGGTCCAATCAAAACACTGTCCCAAGTGGAGATGCCTCCCAGCTCCAACCGTCCAGGTGTAGGACAAGATGTCCTTGACTCTCTGACAAAGGAATATTATTATGACTATATATCCCCCCTTGCTCCATACAATCCCTCCTCCCAGTTTCCCACAGTAGTAAATGTGGCAGGCCTAAAAATCCAATGAAAAAGATGGCTTCCAGGCCTGACAGGATGTATGTATGTATGTATTCCACCTTTTATTGTTTTTACAAATAACTCAAGGTGGGGAACATATCCAATACTCCTTTCTCCTCTTATTTTCTCCATAATGAATCAGGCTAAGCCAAGATCACCCAGCTGGCTTTCATGACTGAAGCAGGAATAAAATTCATGGTCTCTCACTTTCTAGCCTGATGCCTTAACAACTAGACCAAACTGGCTCTTATACTTAACCTTCACGATTACTTTACAGATTAAGTCTGAAAGCAGTTTTCCCTATGTTGGGATAATCACAGGTAAATAAATCCTATTGAGTTAACTCTATATGTATGTGATATTATTCTATAGGTCCTGCTAATTAATCCAGGATGCAAAAAATGAACAAAGAATAGCATGACTTTCCTATTATTTTACTCAGATGGTGGTTAGTGCAATAGAACAGAGAGATAAAGAGTCAAATCCCTTCTCACCCTACAATTCCAGCCTCCTCATTTCTCTGCAATATAAAGCTGTCAAGTATAATAAAGGACAAAAGCAATGGGGCTTTCCAATCCATTAGTTGAAAATTATCTACAAAAGTTGCAAGTGGTTTTGTGCTTGGGTGCTGATTGTACACACAGCATCTCATTTGTTTCCTTTCACAGATTCTTATGACTTGATCCCAGGAGTTGGCAAAGAAGTAGGTAGAGTCCAGTCCTTGTTCATGGCCCTGATAGCTTGTACACTTACAATGTCTAAGTCTAGCATGCAATGTTGAGTGTATTAGCCATTCCCGAATAATGGTAGACCATCAAGCTATTCCTTACCGCCCGTAAAAAAAAAACCGAAAACGAAAACAAGGGCAGTCTCTCAGACTACTTGGGCACAATTCATACTTGCTTCCTTCTTTTAAATCGCCACCTGCATCAAAGAGGAGCTACTATGAGACTTCTTGCTGGATTTTATAACCTAGGTTGGTTACTTTTTGGATCCCAGATCAGCACTGTGGCAAGTCAGGGTAGGCTAGCAGAACTCATAGGGGAGGAACGGAGCAAAGCTGCACCCATTTCCTCTCTTACTTCAGCAAAAGTAATTGAAACATTTTTGCTACATATTCTCTTGTGGGCAAATCTGAGATTTCTAGGAGTGGATATCAGTGGTTCTTTGCCCTGGGGTGAAAGAGGAGAGAGAGAGAGAGAGAAACAGAGACAGAGACAGAGAGACAGAGTCAGAGAGAGAGAGACAGAGACAGAGAGACAGAGAGAGAGACAGAGACAAACAGAGACAGAAACAGAGACAGAGAGACAGAGAGAGAAAGAGAAAGAGAGAGAGAGAGAGACAGACAGACAGAGAAACAGAGATAGAGACAGAGAGACAGAGACAGAGAGAGAAGGAGAAAAGAGAGAGAGAGAAGGAGGGAGAGAGAGAGAAGAGAGGGAGAAGGAGAGGGAGAGGTGAGACGGTGCAAATTGCAGTTCTTTGTATGCTATACATGGGTGTCTTCTTTAACTTTACCTAAAGCTAACTATGCCTATAAGTATGTCTGTTGCCATTATATAGTACATAGAGAAATACATTTCTAATCTGTGGAACTCAGGACTACGTGGCAAGCACAGATTCTTTAAATAGTTTTTGAGCACAATGGTTCTATTGTGCTCATTGTGGGAGTAATTTTTCTAAGATGGGAAAAAATTACAAGCATTTCCCCCACTATAATATGTTTTTCACTCTAGAAATAGCAATAGCCACAGCACTTAAGATTTAAATACCCCTTCAAGGTGCTTTACAGCCCTCTCTAAGTGGTTTACAGAGTCAGCATATCCCCCCCCCTCCCCAACAATCTGAGTCCTCATTGTACCAACTTCGAAAGGCTAGAAGGCTGAGTCAACTTTGAGCCAGTCAGGGTCGAACTCCAGACTATAGGCAAAGTTAGCCTGCAATACTGCATTCTAACCACTGTGCCACCCTATATTTGTATATTTAAAATGTGTACTCATTTGTCCTATATAGATACCTTGTTCAGCACAAAAGACATCACAGTATTTTTTTTTTAAAAAAATTAAAAAATGCATTTTGGGCATTATTACCGGTAAGGGTCCAGATTGCAGAAATTTTTAAATGATCCTCAATACCACTTAGTAATGAAATTATTTAAAAAATTACAATTTACTTTGTAATGGACATCATAGTTTGTAGAGGAAATATGATTATTTTATATATAAAACAGCCCTGGGGGAAAAATAATGACAAAAATATGACTGTACTTTGATCCCTACCTGCGTAAAGAAGGGCTCATAAATTTCAACACCTTTGTCGGATCCTTGTAATAGCACCTCTTGCCCTCGTCTCCAACTGTACCGAACAGGAGGGTTGGAATTGGCTACACACCTAAGAAACACAGTTCTCTCGTAGTAAAACTGTTCTTTTGCTTCACCTATGCTCTGGTGGACTGTCACAATTGGATCATCCAAATCTGGGAACACAAAGAAAGAAGAAAGCAAAAGATTAAAACAGGACTAAAAAAACCTTGATTATCTCTGTTTTTGTGTGTGTGAAAAAGATAGTAACAAGGAAACAATGAAACTGACTCCTTTGTTCATTCAGGCAGGACGTTTGTGTGCTTAGATATGAAAAGTCTGGTTTTGAATCCTTGTGTTTCCAAACATGGTGATAATAGTTGAAAAAGAGGATTAGCCCAAATTCACATGAATTTGGCATGAAAAAATGGCTGAGAATATTATTTTTAATTTGCTTTGTTTTTTTGTTTTTGCTTTGTTAAGAACTAATCAATATTCATGGATTTCTTTATAAATGGAATCATGATGAAGACGTAATGTGAGATCCAACCAACTTTAAATATGTCTTCATTTCTTAAGAAATAAAAATAGCTATTTTGCTGAGAGTCCCCCTTCAGATGTCAAGGAATGAGATTTTACAAGAGATCCTTCAAAGTTTTCAATTGATTCATTCCTCTATCTCTCTAGTGAAGTCTTGTCTGCCTTGGTTGTCTTGTTTTTGGACAATAAATTCAATAATTTACAATAAATATAGTACCCCCTGGTAATTATAGGAATTGTCTTTTCACACATCTTGAGAATTCCAGCTTAGGAGAAGGTTATACTGCTATCCTTCAATTTGAATTGTTATCAACATTTTCATGTCCCAAATTCAATGTATCAATGATACATTTTAATATATTAGTTATTTTTATCCAGCGTGGTTGAAAATAAGCATATTTTTATATCTTCTAAATTGGTTTCCTTCCAGTCATTAGCTCATTTAATATTTGACTTTTGAACACATTACCTCTACAGAACTCATAACTACCAAATGTGAGTTGAGATCAGCGAGATCAATGGACAGATCATTTGTTTGATTTGTGTGAGTATGACACCAATTCATTGATTTTAGGGGGATCACGGCACTGCAGTTTAAGAAGCCTGTCTTAAGCCCATAAAATTCACTGGGTGCATTTCAGTTTTTGATGTGCTCCTTGGCTGATTTATAACTTCCCAGACTTCAGTTCTTCGTCAGCAGGGTATATTTCACAATAGATTCATGTGCAAAGCATATCCCATTCATTAGATAAAATGTCTTATGGCAAGTGCCAGGAAGATAAAAAAAGAACCTTGACAAAGCCAAATTACAACATAAAACTAGTATTCCAAGGGATCTAGAATATAGTATGACACGTTACAAATTATTTTGATCTAGGGATTCCAGCCAATGAACAATATTAATCAGGTAGCCAATTCAGGTTAACCCTACTCCCATCCACCCCATGCCATTATTAATTTTCCAAGTGGTATTTTCAATGTTCTAGGCTACCTGATAGTCAATGAGCATGGTCAAATCTTACAAAGCCTGCTAATATCTGAACACCCAGGGTGTTTCCTCAAACATAGAAGAACCATTGTATTCTTTATAGATTGTTCGATTTTTCTTCCAAACTAACAAGATGCTTGCTTCTGAGTTTGCTATTAATGACAAGTATTGGCGAGAATGGACTTGCACAAAATGCCAAGGTTCTCTCCCATTAATAAAAGCCTCTCCATTCAGTGATCTAACCAAGTTTCTCTTCAGGATTTACAACAACAACAACAACCCAACCCGCACAGCTATCCATGTTGGCTGTACGAGGCAATAAACTTCAATGTGAACTTTCTCAGTTAAATTTACTTAAATCTGGAGAGACCACACCTGAGTTGTAGCCAGTGGTGGGTTTAAAAAAATACTACTACTGTTTCTGTGGGTGTGGCTTGGTGGGCGTGGCATGGCTTGGTGGACGTGGCTTGGTGGATGTGGCTTGATGGGTGTGGCTTGGTGGGCGTGGCAGGGGAAAGATACTGTACAATCCCCATTTCCTCCCGATCAACTGGGACTCGGGAGGCGGGGCCAGTCAGAGGTAGTATTTACTGGCTCTCCGAACTACTCAAAATTTCTGCTACCAGTTCTCCAGAACTGGTCAGAACCTGCTGAAACCCACCTCTGATTGTAGCCATAATGAAACAGGATCTTGAAGAAGAGACAGAAAAATGAATTTATGTTGAAGGAGCCATTAGACTTAGAAGCTTAAGTAAATGCAGGTAAGCCAAGAAATAAGATCAGGGTGAGAAATTTTATTATTATTCATTTTATTACATTCTTTCTTGCAGGTAGATATTGACAATAATCTTCTCCTAGAATACCGGTATACAGGTAATCCTCCGCTTACCACCACAGTTGAGCCCAACATTTCTGTTGCTAAGTGAGACATTTGTTAATTGAGTTCTGCTCCATTTTATGATCTTTCTTCCCACAGTTGCTAAGTGAATCACTGCTGTTGTTAAGTTGGTAACCCGTTTGTTAAGTGAATCCGGCTTCCCCATTGACTTTGCTTATCATAAGGTCACAAAAGGTGATTGGATGATCTCGGGACACTGCAACCATCATATATATATATATATTCACTGTGATTAAAAAATGATGCTTCATCTTCATCCAGCTTGTTTTCTGCTGAATTCATGGATATGTGTCCATGTAGCTTTCCCAGCAGCCCCCACACACCCCATTTTTGGCCTGGACGGCCTCCTGCAGCACCCTGCCGGCCAAAATGGGATATGGGGTGGTGTGGCACCCTGTGCCCCGTTTTCAGCCTGGACGGCCTCCTGCAACACCCTGCTGGCCAAAATGGAGTGCAAGGGGGCCGACAGGGTGCTGCAGAAGGCATCCGTCCCTTCTCCCTCCCCCGCCAGCTCACGGAGGAGAACTATAATACTGATCCGGACCTTGAAGAAATTCAATTTGCTCCCCCGCCCCCCCGTCCCCCCCCGAACTAGACTGAACCTGCTCAGCTTCTGAGTCCAGATAAGGTCACTGAAAATTCTGACATTCATCTTGATGAAATAAAAGTAAAAAAGAAGTCTTAGAATAATAACTCTTCTTAATGCATATGGGGAGGTATACACATCTGTGATTATCTTTTGATAGCAAAATACCATTGAAGTGGCCTTTTTGCAGTATTTGCTCAATGTCTATATCAGCAGCCCCTAACATGGAATAGGTTCCATGCAGAGGTGAAATGCTCCCGGTTCAGACCGGATCACCTGATCCGGTAATGATGGTGGCGGGTGGTTCGGAGAACTGGTAGCAAAACTCCCTGCCCCCCTCCATGCCCAGCTGAGCTGCACAATCATCAGAGGCTTTTTTTTTTTTACTTTTAAAATCATTTTTTCTACAAGCTCTTTGGCTGAAAAAATGCTTTTAAAAGTAAAAAAAAAAAGCCTCTGATGATCGCTCGGCTCAGCTGGGATCGTCAGAGGCTTTTAAAAGCATTTTTTTTTCTTAAGGTTGTAGAAAAAAATATTTTAAAAGTAAAAAAAAAAAAGTTGGCCACGCCCACCCAGTCACATTACCCCCCTCCCGCCCCTCACCAAGCCATGCCCACAGAACCAGTAGTAACAAATTTTACATTTCACCATTGGTTCCGTGGAGAGAGGTTCCATGGACCAGAAGGGGCATGATTTCATGTGCTGCCTGCATCACACGGATGGAGCTTTGCTTGTTTGTGTAGCTCAGTTTCTGGCACGGACCGGGGACTGGAGACCCCTGGTCTATACGATAGAGGAAAACCAACAATGTACTCAAGGAACTAAACGCTATAACTGAAGGCAATAATAAGGTTTCTGAAGGATTTACCCTAATTTAAGCTAGAGTTGAGGAGTGAATTCTTCCTTTCAAATCTAAATCAGACATTCTCAATCTGGCACATTTTAGTTACCTTGAAAATCCTATCCAAACAGCATGACTCATCATGCTGAAGAGAGGTTCTCTGTGATATAGACCAATACAGGAGGCTTTGCCTGTAATAAACTTTATCTACCTAATTAAACTAACCAGATCTATTGACCAGGAATCTAATGTTTTTTTATTGACAATCTATGTGTCAATGTCACCATTGCCTTTGCAGGCCTTCAAGGTCATGGAAAGTTCCTCAGGTGACATCTAATGTCCCTGAGATGATACCCAATGTCCTTGGAGGACCTCCACTGGAGGTCATTTTTGTACTTCTTATCTTATCTAGAGTGTGCCAGCTTGTCTGGGTGGGGTGTGCCAGTCCTTCTTGGTGGGGAGGAGTGGACAATATAGCAAACATATAAATATGAGTGTCAAAGTGTGTTCAGGGTTCCCCTATTGCTATGAGGGGGCCCATCTTTATTCAGCTAAATACTTATGGAAGATGAGCCTAAAAGCTGGAGTGCTGTTGAGTGATGAAAAAGGGCAGCAGGAACAACAGGAGACAACAATCTAATTCTCTGAATAATTACAGATCATCAGGAGAAAAAAACAAAAGAAAACAAAGCAATCATTGGTTTCTAGTTCCCTGATCCTTAGAGAATCAATTAGCACCATACACACACACAAAAGGTTGAAACACAGAGTTTAAATTTGCTTCCTTTTATTTCCTTTCTAACACAAGAGACATTTTCACAGAATGCCAATATTCTTAGTCCATTTTCTATCGCCCTCTTTGGACCTATCATAATCCACTAGTTTCTTCTTTGGAACAATGCCTGAGATTTGTGTCGGGCTCCAGAGGGAGGCCTCCATTAAAAGTCCAGCCAAGCCTCCCCTGTCAAATATGGCGATTAAGTTTCCCCAACGTTCAGTCCTCTTGCTCCCCTGTCTGTCCATCCATCTGTGGCAGGAGACTCTGTCCCCCCGAGCTTTAAAGAAACTTTGACATAGTTAACTTACTAAAAACATCATCACCTCTGCTAACTTTCTGTAGATTTTAATACCCAGCTTCCCCTTTGACATGCGGCTAGCCTTGAGGATCTGGAAGAAGAAAATATTAATGCAATGCTGAAATCTGGCCTCTAGCTTCCCCAAAGTTTTCTTCTCCTTCAAAGAGGCTGGCAATATTTCTACCTTGAGTTCACGGGCTCTAGAATATTGTTAGAATTGATTTTAGTGATGTGTTGTTAAGCTTAC